CTCCCAGAATTCCCCAGCCAGCATGGCTGGCTGGGGAATTCTGGGAGTTGAAGTCCACACAGCTGTAAGTTGTTGAGGTTGAGAAACACTGCTATAATGTATTTATTAGTACATCAGTGACTATATATAAGTTTAATATACTGTATAAGTAGATTTTTTTTCTTTTCTCAGTCTGTTTCTTTTTGTTATCTTTCTCTTTTCTTGTTTTGGTTTCCATTATTCTTTTCTTTTCTTTTCTTTTCTTTTCTTTTCTTTTCTTTTCTTTTCTTTTCTTTTTTTTCTTTTCTTTTCTCGTTTTGTTTCATTGTGTGTGTTTTTTTTAGTGTAGTCTGGTGCTTTGTCTACGTTTTGCATTTCCAAAAATAGCATTTAATTTTTTTTTCTTTTTTAAAGGAGGAGGTTCTGTTTCTGCTAATTGGCTTCAGAGACCCCTTTTCCTATGGTAGCAGCACTCAGGAGATCGACGTACCGCAAAATGTCTTTCTGTTTCAGGGGCTCTTGAATGATGTGGCGAGATGCGTGCAGAGGTGCGGCAGAATTCTCCTCCCATCCGCTTTTTTAAAAAAGCTGAAAGCGAGAGACCCTGAATCATTCAGAGGCAGAACAGACACTCCCAGCGCTAAATGGGAATAATTGAGGCTGCTGTTTGATCATGAATTTTTAGCAATTTACCTGCATTTCTCTCGCGGCATTAGAATATGGAGTTTGTTGTCCTAAAGAGAAAGCCGCAGATGCTTCGATTTCCCACCCTCGCCCCTCATTCGATCTCTGCATTTTCTTCCTCTTCCTGCAATGATGGAGATGTGAATGCAGCTGGTCTGAGGGAGGGCCCTCTCTTTCTGTGTATGTGCGTTATTATTATTATTAATTCGATTTATATGCTGCCCCCCTTCCAACAACTCTGGGCGGTACGTTGGCACGGGTTGCAGTTCTTCCTCAAGCACCGTCTTGGTTGATGTTTTAATTTGGCTTAGGAAGCGCGGAGGCGCTAGAATTGCCTCTCTGGCGAAGGGAGGTCCAGATTCGAACTCTGCTTGGTGGCAAAGCTCCGTGAAGGCCTTTGGAGCCAGCGGCATGCGCTGAACTTCCCTGATGGGCGGTGAGGCGTGGCCCTGTCAAAGCTCTTCCCCGTCAGAGGGGAACCAGGAATCAGAGCAAAACACGCACAGAGCAGGAGCCTGCGGGAAGGACTTTTGCTCCCCGGCAATGTCTGCTCCGTGGTAGACTGCCTCTGAAGCTGGAGGCTTCACCCAGCTGTCTTGACTGTCAACCCCAACTAGCTCAGGGGCTTCTACCACTCGCTGATCGTTGGACAGGTGAACGTTTGGCGTCTCCTTCTGGGCCGGAGCGTCTCTAACTCCCGGAAACATCTTTGCTCTTTCTGGTGACGCGTCTGCTACACAAGTCTGGGTGGCAGGTGTCCACCCGTGTGCTGCAAGGAATTCTGGAAAGGGGTGTGCTTGCATGCATGCACGTGCACACATGCGCGCGTGTGTGAGAATGCTTCGTAATTCTCCACCGCTCACCCAGCCGCCTTCCCAAGACGTTTCTGGCATCTGGCACTGAAGCCACAACAGGAAGTCTGGAGTTGAAAAGGGAGCAGAATTCTGGGGAGAGAGGCGGCTTTAACTCCTTCCTGGCGTGCAAAAGGGGTGTTTGCACATGTGCACGCTTGGAAACGCAAGGACTGTGGCATGCGGCGGGCTAGGAACGGTTGCCGTTGCTCTCTGGTGCAGTTGGAGGACAGGAAGCGCAGTTCTATATGCGTCTGCTTAGAAGTTTGGGGGAAGGTCTATTCCTAGGGTAGAGGGCTGTGCATTATGGGACCTCGTGGATCCCATTGCTTAGACGTTTGGGGGTATATTCCTAGGGTAGAGGGCTGTGCGTTATGGGATCTGGTGGAAATCATTGGGGCTTGCTCTTTTTCACAGGGCTGTTTGGCAGTAGCCACTTTTCATGGCTGAGGGGAAACCCCGGGATCAAGGCAGTCTACCCAATACCCAGAATACTGGTTGCTGGGGCAGGCAAAATGGGCAGAAGGGAGACAGGGCTTACTGGCTCTGTGTATTGCAGGGACAGGCGCCCTCTTCTCTGTGCGGAGGAAAGGACATATTCCTTAAAAGAGATCCCAACTCCGATACCACTTTTTAAAATTAATTAAAATACTTCCATACCATTAATGTGAGTAAAGAATCCCTTGAACCTTGGTGACTTCGCGGGCACACTGAAGTAGTTTTCTTGATGACAGCAGGAAAGTGGTTCGCTCTTACATTTTCCAGGATCTTATTTTTGACTTCCCAGCCTCAGCTTCGGTCCTCGGATCTCCTGGTGGTGTCCTATCCAAAATGGCCTGACCAGGCCTGACCCTGTTTGCTTTTCTAGATCATCCAGGGTGCTACCATATATTTTTAATAGTTTCCCCTTCTCTCACAGTAGATTTTTGGGGGGACTTTGTGTGCCCCCTAACCTATTAGTCCAGTGTTTCTCAACCTCAGCCACATTAAGCTGGGTGGACTTCAACTCCCAGAATTCCCCCAGCCAGCATGAATTCTGGAAGTTGAAGTCTACCCAGCTTAAAGTGGCCGAGAGACTTGGGGAAGCTGGTTCTTCCTCTGCCTCCTCCTCCTCCTCCTCCTCCTCCCTGCCTCTCCTGAACCCCATTCCGAGCAAGCCCAAGGAGCCAGCAGACCCCCTCCTCTTGGCCCTCCGCTGATCGGGGGGGGGCTCTGTTGGCTGACTGATGTATTTCCCTTCTTAACGCCTTTTCAGACCTTCCTTACACGCCCCAAGCCATGCCCCAAAGAGCCTTTAAGCCTCTGAAACCCCACCGGAAGTAGGAAATGAACCAGGGAAAGAAAGAAAGCAAATCGGTAAGGCCAGCTGCCCCCCGTCCCAGAACTCAGACGCTTCCCTAGGA